CTGTTAGCTACCTTCTCAAATATATTGCTGCTGACTTCACAGGGAGCCTTTGGGTGAATAATTCTTCAGCCTAGAGAGATGGTGTCCATGTACTCTCTATAAAAATGTGTGAAATGTCTCAAAAGCTGCACAAACACTAACCAACCCATTGGCAATGTACTGCATGCAGATGAGAAACCTAGCAAGTCAAACCAGCTTGTATGTGCTAGTGATAAGCAAAACCCCCAAATTCAATTATCTCTTATTTTGCTACCAGGGCAATGTCAAAAGCTGCAAAGGGAACAAAGCCACGGGTCAATGAAACCTATTTAGGATACATGACAAATTAGCCTAAATTGCCCTGGATGAGTCTCCAGGCTGCAGTCTCAGTCACTTATGTAAAATATAACCGTTTCATGGCGTCATATCACATTTGCAGTGGTGTAAAATGAAGGAGACTTTGGCCTTCTGGCATACAAAAACAGTGTTGGAACTGAGGAACAGGCAGAATTATCTACTGAATTGTGCACAGCTTTTAGTACCTTTTTATTTTCATAACAATATCTGAATAATTTTTATCTATTTAAAATTGTTTTATCTCATGTTCAGGACTGAGTAAACATGAACTGTTCATTTACTATTCAAGAAGTCCTCTTCTATATTGTTACGGTAAAATCTGGGTGCGGGGCTACTCTGCCACCCAGCTCGTCGGACTAGGTCCGCGGGTCCCTGCGGAAGAAAATGAGCTCAGCCGGAGACAGGAGCAAACTGCAGAAGATCCAAGTTTATTGCGCAACAGGTTCAAGACGAGATTGAACAGCGAGAAAGGGGTGACATGAACTTTTGAAACTTCCCTCCATGTCCCAGAATACAGTGCAAAATACATCACAGTTACATCATGAATACATTAAGGAGAGGTTGGGTTACACAGATTACATCATGAATACATTAAGGAGAGGTTGGGTTACACCGGATTAACATATGGAGGAGGGAGGGGGGAATATGCAGAGCTGGAGATATGCGCAGATAAGCACTTCCTGAGTACCGGTGATGAGAAGTCAATGGTCCATGTATGCATATTCTGTCACCTGGCATTGCCTGGAGGAAAGGCTTGGCAGAGTGATTTGACAGGATTAGGGTCTTGACACCTTGCTTGAGGGATTATGGAGGACAGGGGAGGTGTCATGGAGTCCTAGAGAAATTGAGCAAATTGGCACGTTGATTTTCTATGAATTTTATAGATTTTAGTCCCTTTTGACATTGAGAATTGGAAATAAATGGATACATTGTAGCGAAGAAGGAGGTGAAGAAGACATGCCCCCCCCCTTCCGTATCAATATACATAGGGGAAAGACTCTGTAAGAGAAGAGGCATACCAAGAAATCTGCAACTGGGAAGGAAGTCAAGGCGTGACTTAACGCAGTGTAAATAAGTTGATGATACCAAAAATGATTGTAAAGATGGTTTTATTGTATTTTTTATTTTTTATTATGTTGTCTGTTTTTGTATTTGTCTTTTATTTCTCTTTTGTGTTTACTTGAAAAAGCTAATAAAAAGTATTTTTTTAAAAAATAGGTTCTCTCCCAAATACCCTTTTCAGAAGCTGGCTTGGAGAAATAATAGACTCTGATTTGGAGAAAACACACACACACAAAATATTATATATCTCATAACCCTTCACTACAAAAGTCTCTAAGCGGCTTACAAAGATACAGTATAAAAATAAATCAGTTAGAAATATAAAATCAAATTTCAATTAAAATGCCTGCTGGAATAAAAATCGTCAGTAGGTACTGGAAGTTCAGTAGGGAGCTGTCTGACCTCAGCTGGAAGGAAGTCCCACAAAGCTTGTTTGTTATTTGTTTGCCATTTTTGTGCCTAATGGTATCTAGTGCTGTCAGGGCTGAATTATTGGGCAGAGGTCCAAAGAGAGCCAGCAGAATTAGCAGCAGGCATGGCTTACCACATTTTGAAATGACTGAAGTAATGTACATTGCCATTTAAAGCAGCCTTCACTAACCTAGTGACTTCCAGCTGCTTTGGACTACAACTCCCATCAGCCCTGGCCAGCATGGGAGCTGCAGTCCCCAATATCTTGAGGGAACCAGTTTGGGCAAGGCTGATCTAAAGACCCTGCCCCCTGTAAGCAGACAGTCTCAGATGACCAAAGTACATCACTGATGGCAACCAAGGAGCCTTAACAAGATCCCATTAAAACAGTGGTTCTCAACCTGTGGGTCCCCAGATGTTGTTGGACTACAACTCCCATCACCCCTGAGCTCTGGCCTTGCTAGCTAGGGGTGATGGGAGTTGTAGTTCAAGAACATCTGGGGACCCACAGGTTGAGAAAGGCTGCATGTCATCTTATATTGCCCATTATATCGAGACTCAAGAAAAGAGCTGATCGAGCCGATTCTGAGGAAAATACCTCGTAGTACAGACGACACCTATATCAGACACCTCTTAGCTGACAAAGACCCCGAAATCAACAGGCCAGTGGCGAAGTACTGTTACATTGCAACAAGAATAAGACGAGCAATGATGACAGCAACGGAGTTCAAATTGCAAACATCGAAGGAATGATAATAAACAGTAGTGACATTTGAATTGAATCCTTAAAACCTTAAAAGTCGAAACTTGGTCATAAACATAAGTACCAATTTTGTGATTTGGCCATATCTCCACTGTTATCTGTAGTACAATAGTACTTATATTGCCATATTTTATTTTATAAATTGCTTGCTGGTCATTGACCGTATTAAAGATATTTGATTTGGCTGCATTAAAACATCAGCCACTGTATAATGGTTTGAATCTGTCAAGCAGCTGAAATGATCATCGGAGGGTCTCCAAAACCAGTCTTATCACCACTCAGCACAGTAGCAGGTGGCTCTTTGGCTACCTTCATCCCAGACCATTCTGGAACATAGGAAGCAAGCAACTACTGCTCAAAGTGCATCCGTATTGTGTACACTGGCTGGCAACTGCTATCTGAGGAATCTTTCTGAGCCTTGGACCTTTCGTGTCCCAGAGCATCGTGTGCTCGCTCATGGAGGTAAAAACCAGCACTTTCCATTGTACCTGGAAACCAACAATGTAGCTCACTGAATATATGTGCAATATGGTCATACTGGTAAATGCCTGTCAACGATCAAAACCAGCCAGCTCTTCTTAGTGAAATAAATGTGCAGTCCTACAGAAATAACCTGCAACTGTTAAAATCTGGCCCCGTAAATTACTTTGCATATAGCCCCGTTCCATATTATGCTGAGAGGCCTATAATCTGCCGCCAGCTGTGTGCCACTGCCTTCAATTGCGCTGACTGTGGACTGGTCAAAATGCCATGGCATTAATCTGGGGATTAGTGAGCATTAGGTGAGGGGTCATTTCCCCCCCTTTTAGCTGCAAAAGGAAACATTTTTACCTCTGTCCCTGAGAACATGGGTGATGAATCCTGCCTTTTAAACAGGGGCCAAGAGGAGCAAGCCAAGGCATGAGAATATGGGGCTCCGGCGGTTCCGTTTTCACACGCTAAAGCGGGGATTTACGGTGACCATCAGGAATTTGAGATCCTGGCTGAATGTCAGGCTCATCATGTCAAAAGCTGCTCCGTACATGGATATGGGCTCTGGCTGCTGAGATTTCTGAAGCCTCTGCCCTTCTCTAAACAGGCAGAGAAGGCTGGAGGGGATCCCAAACAACCCGTTTATCTCAGCTTATCATCTCTTCTAGAGGGGCTAATTATGCCTAGGGGTTGAGAGGGAGAGAAACAGGGATGATTAAACCTTGAAAAGAGAGAGACAAGATAAACAAGGAGTGACAAACAGAGACAGGCAGCCAGCTGTTCTTGCCTCCCTGGGTGTCTACCGACCTCCAGGGGAGTTTCCGACTTCTGATGTTGGAGCCTGCCTTCACAGGGCTGTTTTTGACATTATGATGGATGGAACACATACCCAGGTGCTAAATTTGCCAACCAGGTAGAGTGTGCATGCTTAGGCCATTCTCTTTCGTAGATTTTGATTGCTGGCAATAGGGAGGAATGTTGAGATGAAGGTTCCTGGGTGAGAGATATTTCTGCAGAGAAGATGTGGGGAATGGGGCCCATGAAGTATTCGTTCACGCCAAAGCCACTGCATACACACCATCCTTTTAGGAAACATTTAAAGCACCTCCTCCCCCCTCCCCAAGAAAAGAATCATGGGAACTATAGTTTAAAAGTGCTGGGAATTGTAGTCTCCAGGATTCTTGTGGGCCAGGAAACACGCTTTAAACGCACAGTGGGTACACAGCCAACCCCTCCCAAGGGTTCTAGGTAATGCCAAGATTGCAGGTTCAATCCCCATATGGGATAGTTGCATATTCCTGCATTGCAAGGGGTTGGACTAGAGGATCCCAAGGTTCCCTTCCAACTCTTGCAATTCTATGATTTTATGAATTCTGATGCGGCGAGAACTTCCTGTCATCGTGGGGCCCAGCCCTGGTGTTCAATGGTCACACAGTCAGTGTAGAACTCAGGTGTCTTTTAATTTTGCGTGCTTCTCTACCGAGGTGTTGTGGCTCGCCCAGCGGTGTTCCCAGTCGTCTGGGCAAATTCGCTCCGGATCTGTCAGGATGCTCACGGATGGCGGATGACTGTGGCAGCAGCAGCAGCAACAACAGGACTGCTGAATGGCCATTGTTCCCCCATCTTCTGCTGAGAACCCCCCCCCCCCGCCCCGCCGGCAAGAAGGCGCCGATGCCTCTGAGCGCTTTCGCTGATCCTTAGAGGGAGAGGCAGAGGAGCGGCAGCTGCCGTCGCCTGCGGCTTGCCTCTGCCTCTGCGCTCCCCTCCACCTCTCCTTCCCCGCCCCTCTCTGCCTTCCTCTTTGCGCAGGCTCAGCCTGCGCCCCCTACTACCCCACCCCACCCCTGAACCTGGTCTTCGGCAGCAGCAGCAGCAGCCGCAGCCGCTCCCCGCCGGAAGCGCGGCCCCAGCCAATACCTGCCCTCGATCGCGAGCCGCGGCCCCCTGCGCGCGTCGTGGCGGCGCGCTCGCCCTTCCCCTCGGCGCTGCTGCTGGCTGGGAAGACGGCGGCGGCGGTGATGGCGCGGAGGAGAAAGTGGCCGAGGGAAGCCCGGCCTCCGCTGCGAAAGCCGTGCGGTAGGAGTCGGTAAAGAGCGAGCGAGCGAGCGAGCGAGCGAGAGACGAGGAAGCAGACAATAGGAGAAGGGCGGCGGGCAACAAAAGGCGCGATGCTGACAGGGCGGCAGCGGCAGCGCGCCCCAGGCCGGGGAAAGGGGACCCTCGTCGGTGCCAGCCTTTCCTCCTCCTCCTCCTCCTCCTGCTGCTTCCTGCCGGGGTCGCCCGCTGCATCCCTCCCGGGAGCCTTTTAAAGTTGGATGGCGACGGCGATGGCCGCCCCCTAACGAGCCAGGAGCCGATCGCGATGCTGGCGGAGACGGAGGCGGCGTCGGCTCGGCGGAGCTGAGCGCAGCGGCGCGCGGGAATGGGCTGCGCCCGGCGGCGCCCGCACAGCTCGAGGTGGCCGCTGCTGGGGGGCGAGGCGCGGGGGAGCGAGCGGGGAGGAGGAGGACGATGCCGCCCTCGCGGAGAGGAGCAGATCGGGCGGCGGTAGGCGAAGAAGGCAGCTGGTCTCGGAGGCGGGAGAGCCCGGCGGGGCGAGGCGGCGCCGCCGCTAGCTGCTGTTGAGGAGAAGCCCCGTCTGCTCGCTCCTTCCGCAGCGTTTGTGCCTCAGGGTCGGCGGGGAGGTGGGCGATCCTCAGCCTCGCTCCATGGCGAACGCCAGCGAGTTTGCAAGCAGCAGCAGCAGCCCGCACTTGCCCGGCCCCGGCGGCCTACTCAGCGCCTCGGGCCTCAAGCTGACCACGCTGGGCTTGATCCTGTGCCTCAGCCTGGCGGGCAACGGGCTCTTCGCGTGGCTCATCCTCAAGGAGCGGCCCCTGCACCGCGCGCCCTACTACCTGCTGCTGGACCTGTGCCTGGCCGACGGGCTGCGCTCGCTGGCGTGCTTCCCCTTCGTCATGCTGTCGGTGCACAGCGGCGCGGGCGCCTGGCCGCACGGCGCGCTCAGCTGCAAGGTGCTGGCCTTCCTGGCCGTGCTCTTCTGCTTCCACGCCGCCTTCCTGCTCTTCTGCGTGGGCGTGACGCGCTACATGGCCATCGCACACCACCGCTTCTACGCCAAGCGCATGACGGGCTGGACCTGCCTGGCGGTGGTGTGCATGGTGTGGACCCTCTCCATGGCCATGGCCTTCCCGCCCGTCTTCGACGTGGGCACCTACAAGTTCATCCGCGAAGAAGAGCAGTGCATCTTTGAGCACCGCTACGTCAAGGCCAACGACACGCTGGGCTTCATGCTCATGCTTGCCACCGTTGTTGCCGCCACCCACCTGGTGTACGTCAAGCTCCTCTTCTTCATCCACAGCCACCGCAAGATGAAGCCCGCTCAGTTGGTGCCGGCCATTAGCCAGAACTGGACTTTCCACGGGCCAGGAGCCACTGGCCAGGCGGCCGCAAACTGGACCGCTGGCTTTGGCCGGGGTCCCACTCCTCCCACTTTGGTGGGCATCCGGCAGAACACCACCCATAGCCAGATCAAGAGGCTGCTGGTCTTGGAGGAGTTCAAAACGGAGAAGAGGATCTGCAAGATGTTCTACATGATCACCCTTCTCTTCCTGCTTCTCTGGTCCCCCTACATTGTGGCCTGTTACCTGCGGGTCTTCATCAAGGCTAGCGCCATCCCCCAAGTCTACTTGACCACTTCTGTCTGGATGACCTTTGCCCAGGCAGGGGTCAACCCCATCCTGTGCTTCATTTTCAACAAGGAGCTCAGAGTCTGTTTCAGAGCTCATTTCCTCTGCTGCCAAAGCATACAAAATACTCAAGGCACCATTCTGTGTGATCTGAAGAATTTTGGGATGTAGTTTTATCTTTCCAATTGAAAATAGTACTCTCTATGCGCTTTTTTTTGGGGTATATGCACTTGAGAAATTGTTATCTAAGGAGACACCTTGACTTTTCCCCACACCCTTAGGTTTTAAGATATTTATTTATTTATGTGTTAGGGGGATTTGGGGGGGGGGGAAGGGAGGGGAGGGGAGGAAATCGGGGAAGTAACACAGGGCTCCAACTTTCTTGGCTGCTTCTAACATTTCTACAAATGATTCTGACATGGATAAAAAGGCCATAATTTTGTGTTGTTTTTTTTAAGACCCTACTGGTTTTGATAAAGGCTAAGCGATTTTATTCATGTAAGATTTGATAAAAGGCCAAGATGAAATTTTATACTAAAGTGTTATTTTTGATGACCTCAAAATATTGTATTACAGTGTTTGTTTTTAAAGGGTGACCAAGAAGGAGAAACTGTACTGGGTTTAGAAGTCGTTTCTTGCTGGGGAGCTTTTGGATTAATTTTTATTTCAGTACTAAAAGCAGTGAATTTCTAACTTTGCCTGAAATAGAGAAACGTGAGATGCTACCCTAACCTGCATCTTAACTTTACTCAAGTTATTAGGTCGTTTCCTATTGACCTGAAGAGAATTAGGGTCACTTGCTTTGACGTAGACTAACTTACATTTTCTTGTTGCACTGTTCCTTTGATAGTATTTCAGAACCCCTTTGGTGGGGCGGGGGGAGAGGAAATGATAATTTTAAAAAGCAAATTGATTACATATCAACTTTAAAAAAACTGTCAATATCAGGTTTTTAAAATCACACTGACTTTCATACTTTATTGGCTTTTTAAAATGTTATCTACAAATACTGGACAATACTTGTACATCTTGACTGTTTTAATAAAAACACTGTTCAATTCTCGTACATCAAATGTTTATGCTTAGTTTTCTACTCTTGTTTTCGCATGGCTTGCCTACAATCTATGCTACAGGAAGAAAATAATAATTATATGTGGGTGCATTCCTGTGGTTCCTGGCAGGGTTGTTCCAGGACTATAGGACAGGTTGGATCAATTCCTCTGATTCGGGAGACAACATGGAAGAGGGAGATCTGGTGTGGTGCCTCCCTCTCGGATGTGCCAGCTCAACTGAAGCTCTGACTTAACTGAGGTTGGTGTTGTGGCACTAGTATGTCCAGTGAGGGAAAATTTCAGAGCCATTCTGCACAGCACTTTGACTACAAACCCCTTCCGGATCCTCAGCATCCCCAAGTGTGTGTGTGTGGGGGGGGACTTGAGCATTTTTCTGTGTGTGTGTAAATTTCTCTGTCCATTGTTTCCAGTGGGAACAAAAATCTGGGAAATGGGCAGGTTTTTTTAATAAGGCGGCAGAAGCAGATCCCCTACCCTCGACTTTGCACTGTGATTTGTTCTTAGACCCTGGTTTCGCGGGTAGCACTGTGGTCTAAACCACTGAGCCTTGGGCTTGCCGATCGGAAGGTTGGCGGTTTGAATTCCCGCGACGGGGTGAGCTCCCGTTGCTCGGTCCCTGCTTATGCCAACCTAGCAGTTCGAAAGCACGTCAAGGTTCAAGTAGATAAACAGGTACCACTCCGGCGGGAAGGTAAATGACGTTTCCGTGTGCTGCTCTGGTTTCACCGGAAGCGGCTTAGTCATGCTGGCCATGTGACCCAGAAAAACGGCTCCCTTGGCCAATAAAGCGAGATGAGCGCCGCAACCCCAGAGTCGTTTGTGACTGGACTTAATGGTCAGGGGTCCTTTACCTTTCACCTAGCTTCAATCCAGAGGAAGTGCACATCCTTGGGAACACGGTAGGACTTACTTACGCGTAAACTCATACTGCATCCCAGTTCTATGCATCCTAAAAAGGACTGCACTTTTCTAAATAATAATAATAATAATAATAATAATTCCAAGTTCATGCTAATTTATAGGCCTAAATAGAACAACTCTTCCCCTCCCCCACATCTGTTAAAACAAATGTCTATTTCTAAATGGTTCCTCATCTGTTAATGTCAGAAGAGTCTCTAGATAATTTGTGTATCACTAATTTTAGTAGACAAAGCAGTTCCTGCACATAATTGCTTATCTGCCTTGCCAGATATTATTTTTAAATTATTAATGTTCTGGTTTTTTTAAAAAAACTGCAGATTATGTGGTAAACAGTTTCTAAAAATATCACTAAGCTAACTGTTAACTACTGTAACTACTTTTGCTGAGCTTACTTTTTGGAAATACAGGAGCAGTGTGCGCCATCAGATTCATTTTTTAAAAAACGAATGAGCTTTAGTGGTATAGCAGAAGTTAACATTTTAATGTAGTTCAATAAGAAGGCAAGCAAAGAAGAACTGAATGCTATCTCAGCAGCCATGATATTAATTGTAGAGAGAGAACTTGACATGGAGGTGTGGAAAGTTCACTCCCTTCAGGGCAACCCATCAGAGAGGGAAAGATGCTTTGGTCAGATTTTGACAGTTGTGGGAAAGAGGAACTTTGGGAGGTGTGGATTTCTAGGCAGCTTGTGGGGCCCTAGTCATCTGATCCTGTGGGGAGAGAGGGGAAGGAAAGTACACCAGTGGCCAAAATTGTGGAAAGCTGCATATCAACCACCTAAGCAAGTTGTGTTTCCTTTTTCTGGTTATTTGGCTATAACTCTTGATAGAATACAGATAATTGAACAAACTTCATTGCAATACATTCTTCACTAAATTATCTTTCCATTGATACATAATTTTATGGTCTTACTCCAAAAAAAGGTGGTGTTATGAGCCATCAAACCTCGGAAGTACACTTTCCCCAAAAGGTTTCCACAATTTTGGCCACTAGTGTATACACCCAGAAGATAAAGAGGAACATAGACATCCAGAAGGAGCTGACAGGAGAGCGAGAGAAAGAGAAGGAGAAGGAGTGAAACCAAGTTTTATTGTTCTAGCGATCCGTTTTGATGTATTGGGTTGTCTATATGTTCATATCTACAGTACTGTTATACATGTGTGTTATTGAACTGTTTTACAGCCGTGTGGGAAATCTACTGCCTCATGAAATGGTTAAAAGGTGGGATATTATTATTTATTAAATTCCTACACTGCCTTTCATCTGAAAAAGACAGTCATACCTCGGGTTGAATATGCTTCATGTTGAGCGTGTTCTAGTTGCGCTCTGCAGCAACCCAGAAGTAACGGAGCGCGTTACTTCCAGGTTTCGCCGCTTGCGCATGCGCAGACGCTCAAAATGACGTCATGCGCGGAAGTGGTGACAAAGCGACGCGTGCGTGCGCAGACGTGCCATCACTAGTTACGTTTGCTTCTGGATGTGAACGGGGCTCTGGAACGGATCCCGTTCGCATCCTGAGGTACCACTGTACAGGGTAGTTCACAACATAAAAATCAAAATGAGAACACAAAATACATGATAAATACCAATAATATCCCCCAAAACATATTTAAAAGCCCATAGATTGATTGTTTAGTCAGCCAAAGGCTTGATTATAGAGAAATAGGGATGCGGGTGGCACTGTGGGTTAAACCACAGAGCCTAGGGCTTGCCGATCAGAAGGTCAGTGGCTCGAATCCCCGTGACGGGGTTAACCCCCTTTTGCTTGGTCCCAGCTCCTGCCAATCTACCAGTTCGAAAGCACAAAAGTGCGAGTAGATAAATAGGTACCGCTCTGGCAGGAAGGTAAACAGTGTTTCCATGCGCTGCTCTGGTTCGCCAGAAGCAGCTTAGTCCTGCTGGCCACATGAACTGGAAGCTGTATGCCGGCTCCCTTGGCCAATAAACGAGATGAGCGCTGCAATCCCAGAGTCGGCCACGACTGGACCTAATGGTCAGGGGTCCCTTTACCTTTTTAAAGATATGTAAGGAAGGTGTCAGGTGAGTGCCCCTGGGGAGAGGATTCCACAAATGGGTAGCTGCTGCAGAAAATGCCTGTTCCTGTGTTGCCTCCAGACTTCTCGTGGAAGGGGCACATGAAGAAGGGCCTCAGATGACAATTGCAGGGTCCGGGACGGTTCATATGGGGAGAGGCGGCCCTTGAGGTATAGCAGTCCTTTGTTGTTGTTGTTTAGTCGTTTAGTCGTGTCTGACTCTTCGTGACCCCATGGACTAGAGCACGCCAGGCACTCCTATGGACCAATGCAGTCCTTAGCCAATACAAATAAAACTGTCTTTTGTTTAGTTATGACCTTCAATATTTGGGATTTGGTTGTGCCATCCATCTGTGGGATTTGCAATTTTGTTTCCTCCCCCCCTTGCAACTGTGTGCACTATATTTGATGCTGAACTTCTAATTTTTGGGAAAGGGTACCTCTTCCTTGGACAATATTAACCGCGGCCACAGAAAAGAGGGTTTGTCACTTCAGCAAAAGCTTATCATTTGTGAGAGAAAGGGTGGAAATCACGATCCTTCCTAGCTAGAAAAAGAAAGAAAGATTTGAGGCTTGGAGGCATGATTCTTTGTGACAGTCAGAGAAAGTGGAGTGATTTAGTAGAGTATTACTTCGCTCCATCAAAATGTTGAGTTTGTTCCTGCCTGTCACCCAAGCTCTAGAAGAAGGATGATGGGAAGGAAGTTGCTGAGCAGTACCACTGGCGCAAGTAAATCAAAGGAACAGTTTGCTGGTATTAGGTTTTGCAGTCTACTACAATAGTTTCCAAGCTAGGTGTGGTGGTTGCCGTTCTTATAGCCCCCTTGTAAGCAATTAGTTGTTGTTGTTTTTTAAGCAGGCGTGAGGGAAGATGTGCCAGCACTTCTTCCTTGTGAACATGGTCTTCTTGGCAGATGATGTCGCCTCCACTTTCTGGTGCCCCTTTATCTGCACCTCTGTTATAGATTGCAACCTATGGCCAACAAATCCAGTATTGTCTATAGGCAGCAGCTGTTCAGGGTCTTTGGCTCAGGTTTTCCATCACCTGCTATCTGACAGCACTTTTAATTAGGGCAGGTTGGCCAAGGGGCCTCCAGGTAAATCAGGTTTGTTTCCCTTACTCCCTCTCAGACTGTGAGTAGGTGGGCATTGTTAAAATAGAAAAAAAGGAATGCAGAATAATGAAGTACTTGCTTCCATTAAAACAATGTTTCTGCCAATACATCCATGAAATGTAAATTGCTCCATAAAGAACATCCTGTCACACCTCCTAAATAGATCACCTGCATACATCCATACAAAATATAGTCCCTGTGTGTGCTTTCATAGGTTGAAGTTGAACCTTTGCTTCTTGTCAACCCAGCCAGATAGGTGGGGTCTTCTTCTTCTTCTTCTTCTTCTTCTTCTTCTTCTTCTTCTTCTTCTTCTTCTTTATTACAAGCAAAACAACTTCTCAAAAACAGACACCACTAACTGCTGGCCTCTGTAGTTCATAAGAATCAGAATATAGGATATAAAATCTTCTCATGTCCTTTTCACTGTCCTGCCAATTTTTGTGATACTAACAACTCCTCCTGGGAAACATGTTCCTTTTTGTCAAGGCCGCTTACTTTATACTAGAGATGTCTTGTTTAAAAGATGGTTTAAGTGAAGGTATTCTTAGCTGTTACTTCTGGGGTTTTCCCCCAAAGCACTCACCTGTGCAGCATGCACATATTTAAAAATGTGCATATGTGTGTGTGATTAAAAGCAAGCTACAAGCATTTGAATGTGGTCCTATTTGGAACAATATGCACATCACTATGTCTTACTATGCTGAGATGGCTAATTAGTCAGACGTCCCTTGATGAGGCACACTGGGGACATATCCTACAATGAAGAATTCTGTCTTTCTAGCCAAGCTGAGTGGATGATTGACTAGCCAAACCTGATTGTTATATACCTGCTGCTTTTGTAAGGACACACTCCGGTGAAAACATTGATAAGCTAGAAAGGTATGTCAGTTGAGCATTTGTCACAGCAGGTGCAAGATTTAAAAGGAATTGATGGGGACGCTTCCTATGTGCAGCTTCATTCTGTCGAAGCGCTGTTTTAAAGCTCATGTATGTGATAGGAAAGGGTGGCGCTGTGGGTTAAACCACAGAGCCTAGGACTTGCCGATCAGAAGGTCGGCGGTTCGAATCCCCGCGACGGGGTGAGCTCTAGTTGCTCAGTCCCTGCTCCTGCCAACCTAGCAGTTCGAAAGCGCGTCAAAGCGCAAGTAGATAAATAGGTACCGCTCCGGCGGGAAGGTAAACGGCGTTTCCGTGCGCTGCTCTGGTTCGCCAGAAGCGACTTAGTCATGCTGGCCACATGACTCGGAAGCTGTACGCCGGCTCCCTTGGCCAATAAAGCGAGATGAGCGCCGCAACCCCAGAGTTGTCCGCAACTGGACCTAATGGTCAGGGGTCCCTTTACCTTTTTATGTGATAGGAAATAAACAAGGAAAGTTACCAAGACAATTGCAGTACATTATTCAGCCATCAAAGTTGCAAAAGATGGAACTTTAAAATAAACACTAACCCAATTCTCATTTGATAACTCTGGGGTTCTCAACATGGTGCCCATGGGCACTATGGTGTCCTCAGTTACCCCCTTGGCTCCTTGGCAAGGGCTCTACCTAATCCATCTCTCCCATATGAGGGTTTGGGGCTTTTAGGGGGATGGTTCAGTTGCAGAGTTCGCTTGGGTTTTGGGGCGGGAAAAAGTGCCTACTTTTTTGTCTGCTTTGGTTTTGGGGGAGATGTTCTGCCTGTTTTTGGAGGTGGGGTTTGACTGTGAAATTGGTTTTTGTGGGGCCCACAGCAGTTTCTTGGATTTCCAAATGGGTCACCAGGCAACAAGATGCTTGAGGACCGCTACGTCAACTATTTAGCTGCAAGGAGAAAAGGAAAACGTTTCAAAATGGTATTATAGTATGAATCGAAACATCATGGCTTTAAAATGGGAAAATGCAGTTCATGTTCTTTCCAAGCATCCTATACAGTGGTACCTCGGGTTACAGATGCTTCAGGTTACAGACACTTCAGGTTACAGACTCCGCTAACCCAGAAATAGTACCTCAGGTTAAGAACTTTGCTTCAGGATGAGAACAGAAATCGCGCGGTGGTGGCACGGTGGCAGCGGGAGGACCCATTAGCTAAAGTGGTACCTCAGGTTAAGAATGGTTTCAGGTTAAGAATGGACCTCCAGAACGAATTAAGTTCTTAACCCGAGGTACCACTGTATAATGAATATATGCCCACATTATGGACTGTGCTTGATTCATTAGCAAATCTCACTGCCACCCATTGTTTGAACGATTTACCTTGAGCTAGGGGCAGAGAGAAAAGCCTAGCCATTGTGTATCTTCTGCTAATACTGGGCGTTGCTCAAAAGGGACAAAGGCTAATACACCCTTGTGAAGGTAATGGAGGTGTAAAGATGTCATGGAAGAATTCTAATTAGTGGTGATTCCCCACACTGATGCATCTTTGAGCAGATTTCTAGACAGAGCAGATCTAGGTTTCCTAAAGTTATAGGAGAGCAAAGATTAGGATTGCAGCTTTGATGTTTTGTTGGCCCCAACTATAGAATTTAATGAAGATTGGGAGTTCTCCTTTCTTCTAGATCTGGCTCGCCATAAGTATATACTGCTGTAAAGGTTGTTTCATTATTTTTTTTAATGTTGTCTGGGTTTATGTTTTACGTGAACTTACATACGTGTGTGCAGCAAATGTATGTTTTTAATTGTGAATCTGCAAATGTGTTTTCCACAGCTGAGGAGCCACACATGAAGTGGCCTCATTTTGTGATGCTGTTTTCTCATTTGTTCCTAATTAGCAGGGAGTTCTGGCAGCAAGGTCAATACATTCTTTTTGATACTTTCAGTTGATGAGTTCTATGGGTCAATGAAGACCTGATAGTCAAGTGCCAATGGCTGTGTGAAAAATAGCTTGCTGGTTAATGAAAGGCAGCTTTAGTTCTGACAAAATTTGATCCATGTGAAATAATGCACATGGCTAAACTCTTCTCATAGCTCCATGAATCGAAAACAAATTTATTGCTGTTCCACTTTAGAAGGTTTATTGTAGACTGGTGCTTCTGGGTTTCTTCACATAATATTGAAAACAACATACATCTCAGAAGCTGAAGAAAGACCTCACTGGGTTGCATTACATTATTACATAAATCTACACATTTTGGCGAGGGGAGGGGGAAGTTAAGCAGAGAACTAAATAAGGATCTACTAAATGGGTATATTTGGGGAACACATTTCCAGGGTGACTCATATAGACAATACATGGGAACATGAACAATTGATCTTGATGTGCTATAGCAAAATTACTTTGGGAGTGTTTCCTAATGGAAGAAAAAGCTATGGAGTGCAAGGTTATGAGTCGCCACCCAACACAACTATGGTTGGTTATCCTGCACAGCTTCTGGAATCATCAGTCTTTCTACTATACTTGGTCTAAAGCTGACTTCTGATACCCAAGGATTTTCAAACATTCTTTTATTAGAAATACACCTAAGATGCATGACATGGTGTGCTTCGTCTGCCTTCAAAAATACTGGGACGAGAAGTCAGAGCCAAGTTGTATGAATTTCCTACTCATCTCAGTCAGTTTATGCAGTCAGCAGAATCTAATGTTAAAACTTTTCTGGACTTTCCTCACAACGAATGCAGTCCTACACAAAGAAAAGTATCTTGGAAAAGCTCAGTCTAGACTTTTCTCATGTGTTTCTCACTCTACATACCAGTTTTGTTTTTTAAAGGAAGCATTTAAATATGCAGCCATCCACCAGCAGCATAACATGGTGTATAGCTCAGGGAATGCTGCTTCCCCTCATGGTTATGCTGATGGTATAATCTGGGCCTTATTGACCTCAGCTAAAGAGAATGTGCTTGATGTGATTGGCCTTAGCTACTTAACACTGTGGACTCGGGAAAATAAATGCATGTCAGTTGTCCAGATACACTTTGCACCAGCTTTCCACACATAGAATCACTATGAATATAGGAAATGTATAATACTATACTGCAGTCCTATGCACATGAAGATGAGCCTCAATTCACTAAATGGTGCTTACTTCATAATAAACATGCATAGGATTACTTTTTGTGTGTTATATTTAACAAGGATAAGTAAAAAGAAAAGTAAGACTGAAGACAGCTTCTATGGCATTTTGTAATTTTTCATGGAACACTGAATTGTATAGGAGGTTCTTATGTCAAATTTAATGGTAACGTTCACAGAAATCTTGAGTGATGCATACTTTCATACATAAGTTCTCAATTTAGTGTTGATAGATAACAATAACTCACTGGAAAAAATCAAAGACCACAGTGCAAAAATAAATATATAATTTTAAATAAATAAATATACTGCCATTATTCTGATACAGAATTATTACATAGTGATATTGTTATATTTACATAACAAGTCATGTACTTTAATTAAATAGACTTTTCTGATTTTAAAAAAATGTATAAAGTACACTTCAAATATCTGACAAGCTGCTAGTTTATGCCAAATAAAACGAAAAGAATTCTTTCTCTTCTCATACTCAGAGTGTATTAATTTTAAACAGTATTTTTACTACTTAAATGCTTTGGTGCTGGTTGTCATTTTTAAATAACATAAAGAACACAGTTGAAGTGTTTAAAATAATGTTATTTCTAATCTAAAATAGTATAATTATTACAATAAATATGTACCTGGATTATCATAGTCTAACAAATTGTCTAGTTCTTAGCCCTATATTGCAGTGCAAAATACTTTAATTCAATCTTAGCAGATTCAGAAAAATCTTGAGCAAATTTATGTAAACTGACTTGGTAATTATGGGCATCCATTTTCTAGATGGCTAACCTGATCATCCTTAAGCAGGCCAGATTTTAGGAGAGAGGAGCTATTCTGTACTATTCCTTCAGTATAAGTCTGCACAGTTTGTGATCTAAGCCAAATGCAACACAGCAATGATGCATTGGGGCCTGCCAGTTTCTTCTTGTTACCTGTTTGTGTAGGCTACACAAATAGGAGGTTTATTGAGCCTCAGGTAGTCTGCCACACATGACTGATGTGCTATGTTTGAACTGGCAAGTCTCAAGTTGTACAGGTCTACTTCAGCACATATTAGCTTGTGCTGTTAAGAATATGAAGAACTCCCTGAAATTGTCCAGCTGAAAACATCTTGGCTGCCATGAACTATGGTATCAAAAAAATGATAATGGTTACAATGCAAGAAAGTATATTGGAAAATTTCCAGTGACAAATGACTTCATCACAATAACAAGTAAGGATCTTAATACATGGAATACAGTAATGGCACAGAATCTTTCCCCATGCTTTCACTAGAAAAAGATATCTTCGTTTTTGAACTCTGGTAAACATTTGTATTTGCTAGGAGAAATCCAGACACAAGCCAAATTAGGTAGGCATGGACAGCTGTGATGAATTCTCTTCCCCCAAAATGGAATCTGAAAACAAATAGTTAATGTTAAAGAAATGAAGGCAAGAAGACAACTCAGCAGTAGGTGCCTGCCATTAACACTAAAGTTTCCACACTAGTATATTAAACTAGTTCAAAGGGATCCCCAAAAACATATCCCATCTTCCTTACAGGTATACTGACCTGTCTTCCTCTCTTGGTGTTTATTCTTAACTATATAATGTGAAACTGATCCTCTGTGTACACAACCATCATTTCAAAAGAGCAGTAAGTCTGGTGTAGATTATTATGGTGTACCAATGGGAGTATCACTTTTGGCAAAGACCTAATCCAAAGTTTTACAGTGTTGGTATTTGCTATCCCACATATGCTACCTTGCTTCAGATTGGGCCTTCCAATAGGATCATCCAAGAACATATACCTATGTCGTACCTGTGGGAGAATAAATATTTCTAGTGCTTTCCTGGAAATAGCACTCAATATTTGCCTGTAAAAAAAGGAAATGGGTTCAACAGGAGCAGCATAGGACTTGTAATAGGGCATGAGACTTGTAAGATTGCACAGAGCCTCAAAAATCTTCTTACCTACCAGCTGCACAGGCAGGTTTCACTTTATTTTTGCCCAATGTTTCTGTTAAGCACCTCAGAATTTTTTTCTCAATGGGGCAGATAAATCTGTTCATCTTTAGAATACCTTGCTTTTACAAAATGGAACCAAATGGATTCCTTTCAGTCAGAAGTTTAGGAGTTGATTATGTGCAGATCAGTGCAATGCCACACTTTCAGCCAATGAGAAACACAAGTCAAAATCAAATTTTATTATGATGTAAGCAGGACAAACACATATGAAGACACTTGAGCTAACGCTTCAAAAATTATTTCAGAATGACTCAGAATCTGCTTCATATTGATGAGACTGGGAAGGGAATGGAAGCAGGCAGTTGAACTGTATATGCAGTATATACAATTTATCTGTATATATAGTAGCCAAAATATTTTGCATGTGACAAGTCAAAAGAATAGGATGGTGCTATTTACTGCAGCGTACCCCTTCCCAATGCCTTATTATTGTTTCTCCTCTTGTACAACTGAGCTGGGAAGCAGTACAGTTTTGGAGGAGCGTATAACCGTAAATGCCAAAATCTATGCCTTGTCAGGTTTGTGAACTCCCTTACTCTCCTGTTCCTGTTTGCTTTGCTATAAACCTCTACAGTCTGTTTGATATCTGTGGCAGGGATAGGAGTAGCCAATGTGGTGCCCACAAAATGTTGTGGACTACAACTCTCATTATCTCTGACCACTGACAATGTTGTCTGAGGCTGACGGGAGTTGTAGTTCAACAATGTTTGAAGGGTGCCATGTTAGCTACATGGTTTACAAGTATGGTTTACCTACTTTTTGCTAAAAACCATGGGCTTGGGGGTATTATGTATTTCTTCAAATCATACACCCACAGCAAAATTTTCCTCTAAAAACAAAACTGTTGCCAATAATGCTGTTTCATAGTGTTACTGCAAATAATTGGTTGGGATTAATTATGTATCTAGTCCCATCAGAATAACACAATTCACTGGGGTCAACAAGACCTTTTTTTGTGTCAGATTTTCTTCTCAAAGACCAATGCATTTTGCTCTTGCATTACAGTATTATTGTCAAAGCATCAGGTTGTGTATTTTTTTCTTTATAAAATGTTGCACAAATAATATTTTATTCACCTTAATCGAAAGGAAAAAATCTATAGAAGTGGTAGCAGGGCTAAATGAATTGCAACTCAATCTTATCTGAAAGACTAACATTTAATCTGTGTTCTGATTTAAGCAGTATGCCTTTACTGATCTCTGATCAGCTTATATCAGTTGGTGGTCCACTTTACAAGCTCTCCATGTGTGATTTAACAAAGGGCACTCAAGGCTAATCTAGTATGAAGACAAAATTGCCTTTCAATTTAGGCTTGTCCTTGCAGATCAAGTTTAAACTCAGTGGTGTGGTAGTGAGGGAAAATAGAAATTGAATATGTCTGCTTTGTACCTGACCAGCAGACAAATGGGGAATGTCAGTATTTTGACACTTTGAATGGTCTTCTGTAACCCCTATGGATAATATGAGCTTTTTTGCAAATAAATTGGATGATTTTGAGCTATTTCTGAGGAACATCGGCTGCAGTATTCTGGATATGACGTATGGCAGCCCTAGCTTCAAGGCTAAATTGCAAGGACTAATTTTACTGAACAGTAAATACTTTGAGAACCAGTGCTAGAAACAATACAAAACAAGACCAAGATTTTCAAGAATATGCAGTCAGTGACATTCTTCCCTGCTTCTTCTTTAACAGCAGACCAAGAAAGAAATGGGAAGAAAGGTAATGGCTCCACCCCTCATTGCATGGAATGAGCATGAATGTATTTAGGGGAGAAAAAGGATGGCAGTACCTTCTTGCAGCTTTATGGACTATCCCGTCCATTGTCTGCCCAGATACAACAATATGAAGAAAAACCAATGATTTGTACATAGGGTACTAGCAAGCAACTGAGTGTCAGACTGTCAGTTGGGTCTTGCCAATGCTACTTAAAGGTTGAAGAGAGCTCCATTGTTAGGTTACAAGCTGAGACTGAGCTATATCCTTAACAAGAAAAAGAGGCGGAGCAGTACAGTAAGTCTAAGTGCATGGTGCAATAGTGAAATGTGGATATGGTTAGGAACAGAGTATTGTCATATAGTCTAGCAATGGTAAGAGAGTACAACCATAAGCTATGAACCTTAATATTTTCAAAACATTTTGGACTATATTCTCAGACTCCTATCAAAAGGGGGCGGCAGGGGGAGGGGGGGCAGGCAGACCAGGCATAATTTCCAAAAGAAGAGGTGGTTCAAAATGCAGCAGCCAGATTACTGGCTGGAGTTCCATTTAGATCTCACATAACTGCTCTTTTAAAACAGCTGCACTGGTTGCCTGTTTGTTTCTGGGCCCAATTTAAGATGCTCATGTTAGTGTTTAAAGGGCTAAACAACACAGGCCCCAAATACCTGAACAGCAGTGCCAGCTCCTGGGGCTGAGCTCTTTTGGCCTCCCTGAATATTTCTGGGGTGTTTGGCCACCTTGAATATTTTTGGGGTGTTCAAAAAGCACGAAAGCGAAGCATGGAGCCCAGCATAGTGTGGCTCCAGTGGCCGGCTCCTTCTTCTCCTGCCGCTGAGGGGAAGGAAGTTTGAAGCAACTTCCTGCAGGTGGCAGCACCAGGAGGTGGTGGTGGAGGAGCAACTGGCCATTGATGCCACGTGACTGCCATGTTCGGATCTGCCCCAGGCTCCTTCTGACTCCTGCTGTAAGGTTACCAGATGTCCCTGTTTCCCAGGGATAGTCCCCAGATTTACAGCTTTCTCAGGATTCACATGTATGTAGCGAACAATAAGTGCCCCCGGATTCATTGAAAAACATCTGGTAACCTTATCCTGACATCACATGTGCAATGCCCCACCCCAAATTGCCCTTGTGTACCCTTAAAATCTACCATAGAGGGTTGAGGAGAGCTGCAGAGGAGATGAGAGAAAGGCACGTGATCAGAAGACTACTCAAAACAATGTTGGATTCCAACTTCTGGAAGGAAGCAATGAGGTACTTTGATTACCTGAACAATTTGCCTACTCAAATGATTAATAGCTCTGGAAATCAGCAGGGTTTGAATGATTACTTATAAGAAACAAGAGTATAAGGATAGTTTTAAGATGCTTATATTCTGTAATGTGAAAGAAAAGCATTGGACTTTATTTTTTTTACCTTAAGACCTCTTACAGAATAACACTGACAGTAATATATTTATTTGCGTATGTTCTTATGATGCTGTTTCCATAAAAAGAAAACTTCCTCTGTAAAGTATATGTTCTTGCACTTTTGCAATGGATAATATTTTATGCAGTTTGACTCACAACAAAATATATTCATATTTCCTTCTACCCTGTCAGTTACGGTATCACACAAGGTACCAGAAAAAAATGCTAACTTTATGACTCAAAGGATGACAGTCTTCTCCCAAGGTTCCCATTGGTGTGCACATCCGCAGGCTCCGAATCCAGAGGCTAACAGCACAACACATGCCTCCACCACACTGTAGATCTCTGTCACAAGCCTTAAACATAATAAACAGACACACAGTATTAGATAAGTAAAATTACTAAAAATAAACTGGACTACTACCCCATTATCTTATTGTACATCTAAAAGCCTATATTTTCAAGAGGCTTTGCTAACACAAGGAAATTGTGGGGTTCGGGATTCACATGGTCATATAGCCCATTAGAAGCTGAAGCAAGTTTGTTTGTTTCTTTAAATTAAAAATCCTTAGATTTAGTAATTGGAAATCTTTTAATCTTAACAGGTGGAACCTACATATCAAATGTCACATGCTGTCTTTCCTCCAACCACCACTGTCAGTTCAAGTAAAGATAACCTGTGTTCTGGATCCATCAGCTAAAGTCAGCCACAAAGGCCCCACTGAAACCAGTGGGGATTATTTAGTTGGATCCAGGCTACTAAATTATTTTATACCATGAATGGTGCCAGACAGAATGAGATGATGGGTTAAATGATTATTTGTTGCCAAAAGAAACATGCGTAGCAAGAGGTTCTATATTAGCTTTTATGCCACAGAATAGCAGAGCAAATATTTGTGATATTTAACAATACAATGTCTCAATGTTCAGGCAGAGGTAAGATCTGTCTTATCTCCACCAGATGCCTACAATCACTTCTGAAACACAAAAACAATATTAATCTGGTCCAACAAAAGCAGAAGCCCTCTTTTCTTTCTATTAGAATACTTTTAATGTTTTGATTTATTTATAGCAGGCATAACTCTGTAGCTAAAAATGGAACAAGTCATTGGAGCTTGTTTCTCTGGATATTAACTGAAGCTCTTCTAAATCAAGCTTGCTCACGCAAGTATATAGTGGTTTACTCATGCAAGTATATAGTGGTTTACAAAAATCTAAGAATGCTAAGAACAAAATTACAGAAAACCACAAGAAATTTAAGAAAATAAATTACAACTTCCATAAAAAACATGTGCAACACTATCCCAGTCATTCCTGTTCAGAAGTACCATTGAATTTAATGGATTGCACTCTCATGTAAGTGACAATAGGATTGCAGCCTAAAGCTTTTCTGTTATTCATTGTCTATCTTATAATTTCTGGTAAAAGTCGATTTGAAAAGAAGATTCTTAGAGTATTTATTCATTTGTGACACACATAGGCCACAATTTATCAGGGAATAATCTGAGGCATTCATGCTGACCATAGTTATACTAAATACCATGACATGTCAGCTATAAAAGACTGGCAGGCATCAAAAGTTAAATATATTGAACATCCTATCCCAAAATATTTGGTTAACACTTTATATAAAAATTTACTCAGGAGAACCTTCAGACAAAATGAGGATTCATTCAAGCTCTAAAGTCTCCTGCGTGTTCGTTTCCCACCCTTGCCTCTTCCATACTGTTATGACCAGAACAGGCTAAAACTCCTTGCCCATCAAGTCAGTTTCCTTTTAATTTGTAAATAAAAAGTCTTTGTACTGTTTTATTATGTTAAAATCAGCAGGAATCCTAGACTGGTAGAATGAATGGTTGCTTAAGGACTGGTGATTTAATGCCTGTTAGACAAATCCATGCTAATGTGTGGCAGGTGAGTTGTAGTATACTACTCCTGTGCTGTTTGATTACAGACACCTTGTTCTCCTCAAAGGTCACTTTCCCTGGACAAATCCTCATACATAGTTGTGCATGAGCAGCCAGTTTCTGTATACAAAGATCCGTGAAGTTGGAGAGCATGACAACGATACCAAAAAGGAGAACGTGATATTGCTAGCCACCTACAGATACCACGTGCCACCTAAAACCACCATAAGAATGAACTTCAGAGTCTTAAAAGGGCCAGCACTTCTTCTGCATCCCACAGCTTCCCTCCAAGTGTTCTCCCTGTACTGCAGGATCAGTTAAGTGCAGTGATAGGTATCAGGTTCTTCAGGGAAGGCACTTGTGAGGGTCCTGACTTGAGTCCTACAGCTATGGGAGTTCCTTCTGTGGGTTTCTGACAGGTGCCATGGCCTTCTGAAAATGAGTAGGAAGCTTGGAACCCTCAACTTGGCTCCTTAGCTGATGCATCTGTGGCCTCCAGCTCTGTATCTGGAGTGCTGATGAACTCCGTGGTCATGACAATAGCATGAAAGCTGAGACAAGGCACCTGCCTCTGTATCTGTAAGATGCTGACAGGCTGAGTATAGACTGTCTATATTTTTTTATCTTATATCATTTTAAAATAAAAAACAACTTCATAGTAGAAACTTCACTTGAAAACAAAGGTGATAAGTCAGCTAAGACTGGACTAAAGGTAAAGGTAAAGGGACCCCTGACCATTAGGTCCAGTCGTGGCCGACTCTGGGGTTGTGGCGCTCATCTCGCTTTATTGGCCGAGGGAGCCGGCGTACAGCTTCTGGGTCATGTGGCCAGCATGACTAAGCCGCTTCTGGCGAACCAGAGCAGTGCAAGGAAACGCCATTTACCTTCCCGCTGGAGCGGTACCTATTTATCTACTTGCACTTTGACGTGCTTTCGAACTGCTAGGTTGGCAGGAGCAGGGACTGAGCAACGGGAGCTCACCCCGTCGCGGTGATTCGAATCGCCAACCTTCTGATCGGCAAGCCCTAGGCTCTGTGGTTTAACCCACAGCACCACCCGTGTCCCCAAGATTGGACTAAGATCAGTTTAATACCAAAGTGGATTTGAAAATGCCCTAAGTGCAGATGTGGGGAACCGTTGGCTCTTTACATGATGAGGAACTACAATTCTGATCAGCCACAGCAAACATGTCCAATGGTTAGCAATGGTGCAAGTTAGAGGTCAGCTACATCTGAAGGACCAAAGGTTTCCCACACCCGCCTTACTGAAATCATGGAATACATTCTGGCTTTAATTCTAACCCCATTTACCTGGCAGCAAATCCCACTGAATTTAGTTGGTCATGTTTCTGAGAAGACATGGTTAGGACTGCACTGCAAAAATAACTTTGCTTTTGTTTCATTTCAAATACTTGGACTGTGAAGCTCTATAAGATTCTGCTGAGCAATGGCATCATAAATAAGCAGATTCACAGGAAAGTGTTTATGAACAGATAATGGCTCTGAGGGAAACATTACTGTCCACTGAAACAAATGCTCACTTTAGAATATTTCATTATGAATATAATTATACTCTACTCTACTGCATAAATATTATGTAATTTTAATAAGAAAATTGATATCAGAGCACATATTTACATAATAGATGGTAGCTTAAAAAAACTGGTTGTATGGTAATACTCAAAGTCATTACTACAATTTTATTTTGAATTCAGAGATGAGGCACAAGGTTATGTTAGTTTACATGTCAATAGGGAAGGAAATGCAAAACCAATTCCTAAGATATGTATAAAATATTAATTGCTAAATACTGAAATATTAACTGGATTTTAGCTGGTATCATTCTATTTTCATATTTTAATGTTTCATATATATTCTTAACATTGTAGAAATTTCAGTTCTATTCACTAGTTCATTTTGTAGGGCAGAGTTAAATCCTAGATACGTTCCTATGTGTGCAAGAATTGCTGCACTTTTACTTTATTTTTTGTTTTTAAAAAACACTCAATATAAACTACCAGACAGAGCTCTTCACTGTAGATTGCTGCCACAGAAATTCTCTGCTTTCAGATAGAGACCAGGCGGGTAATTTGAAAAGGCTAAAAGCAGTAGATGAAAAGTCCTTTTTTTGACCTTTTCATCTTGCCCTTTCTACTTAGTCCAGGCAGGGCTTTTATTCAGCCAGAACTTGGCAGAACTCATTTCTAGCACCTCTCAGTTGGGTACCAGCACCTCTCAGGTGGGTGCCATTGCCATTTTAAGAGGAGGTTGGCATTCATGGTGGGTTCTGGCATCTCTTTTTCTAGAAGAATAGCTCTAACTCCAGGTGTCTCTTCCTTTCCTAGGATGCCTTGGGTAGGTTGCTCTGTTTATTTTCTCCCCTCCCTCAGTCTCAAGGCCAATGAGGAGCCTCCTCACACATCTTAAGATGTTCTCAGAGGTCTGGTCCCTACACACCTCCTCTCAGGATAATTCCCAGGGTGTGGAGGGCTTATGCTACCTAGGTGCTTCGAGCTGAAGGACAAGAAGGTAAGCTTCAAACCATTTCATTATGAAAAACAACAGATTTAAAAGAGGGGCTTTCTTTAGAATTTATTTATTTATTTACCCCTGAATTACCAAAGTCTCTAAGCAGCATGTAGGCTGCAGGCTGAATGAGTAAGCATTAAGAACATGATATGTGCAGAAATCAGCATATCTGTATTGACTGCCCTCAAGCATTATGCAGATTGTGTATATTTAACAGGGAGAAAGAAAAGAGATTTATCCCAAACACAAATATTACTCTAAATTACAGTTGTTCCTTTTATTATTTCATTAATACAAATGGAGAAGTCAGGGGAACCTGACTTCTAGGATACAATTCAGTTTCTTGTCAAATTATTCCTGCACACGCTGCTGTCATATGCAAGATTCGCTCTCTGCTTCTACCACTGGATTACCTCGTTCACAAGCCAGCATAGGCTGGATCATACGCCACCCGAATATAGAAGTGGTCATTTAGCTAATTTCTTTGAAATTGTATTTACACCTGTAAAAATAAAGTATCATGCAATTGTAAAATAAAATAGAAAGTATTAGAGGAACCGGACATGAGGTTGTTCCTGTACTCCTTTACCGAGTCTTGCCATAAGTTCCAGCCAAGTGCCAAATTGCAGAGGATAATAAAAATGCCACATTAAGCACCTTTGAAGAGACCTGCTATTAAGTGTAGTATTTTGTACTGAATGAAGGAATCTGTGCAGCATTTAGTTTAAGAGCCTAATTTCCTTCATGGTGCTAGAAATCTATCAGCATTGCCAGTATGTCATATAAGTCTTGCAACTTGTTAGCTTCCATCCTGTCCCTCCTGCTCCTCTTTTTCCTTCTGTCACCTGGACCTTAACAGTGAATCAAACTGCAGGAGGAAAACAGATTCAATGAAACAGGTTCAAGATCAAAGGCACAATGGATCCAAACTAAAGCAGGGGGAAAATAGAGCAGTTAAAGTAGAGAGCCAAGACAATTGTTAAATAAAGCAGTTTTTAAAAATGCGTTTAGAGAACCTCTGTCAATAACAACACTTTGTAAGGAATAGCCAAGCCCTTAGCAGAGGAAGAAGTAGGGAAAATCTTAACAAGCTAAAAGTATTGCAGCCTATCCACCCTCCAGCCACAGAAAAATGTGGCTATTATAAAGTCACTTTGATTTCAAAGTCTTTCTGTAAGCTGAAATACCTGGCTGGAGCTTTTAAGAGTAAATGAACCTTGCAAAGTGTTGCTCAGGCTCTTCTTGTCGTCCTTCCCCACAATCGATTACTTATATAAAAAGTTTCTTGGCAAGACAACAGGGAGTTGCGAATCGTTTAAAACGCCTCTTTGAAAGGGGGAGAGGGGTGGACGTAGGTGAGAATCTCTCCCGGACTCTGGAGCTGAGTGAACATCTCCCCTGCCATGAGAAATTAAATGTGACAGAGGAAGGAAGATGCTGAGGAACTCAGCACAGGAGTATCGAATCCAGAAAAAAAAAACCGCTTCTCCACAGTTGCCTCAACTTCCAAACTGAGCGCAGCTGGGGGAAGCTTTTGGAGTTACAGGTTGCGACGGCGCAAGGGCAGCTGGCTCCCAACTCCCGCCCAGGGACAACCCCAGCCTTAAATTAGACAACAAGCCAGTTAAAGCAGATAGTCAGTGCGGGAGGCGACTGCCATGAGCGCGCCTTTGTCTCCCGTCCCAACCCTCTTTCCCCAGAACAGCCATAATCCTCCAGGGGGCAAGCTCCAGCCACCCCACAACAGCCGGATACCACCAGGCACGCACACAAAGCCTCAGGATCAGGCACGCCTCACCCCATAAACTTCAGCAACTCGTTTCAGGCGAACGCCTCCCCAAAAGCGCGCCTCGTCGGTCCTTTCCTCCACAGAAAACCCCCCACAGCACACTTCAAAGCCATTCTTGCCTCTCGCACTCGAAAGCACTCGCCTACCCGCCAGCCCGTCTCGGCTGGTGGTGCTGCTTTCAGCCAATCCCGGATTTCCCGCCAAAATAGCCACCAGGCTCAGACGGCAGAAAGGGCGCACAGGCGCGCACTTGTCTCGCCCGCTCCAACCGTCGGGGTTAACTCGTGTCTCGCCATTCCTTCCTTTCTCGTGCAAGGTGTCACCCCCCACCCACCCCTCCACTCCCTTTGCCAAGTCTATTTGGTGGCGATAATCCCTCGCCCCAGAGGCTGCCCCTCTCACCCCAGTGATAACTGCAGAATCCCCCGTGGAGAGCAGCAGGAAGAGGAGCGGGACGCAGCTCAGGCTCCTCATGGCTCCCTCTGTTCTCTCTCCCCGGGGCTGCGTGTGCAGCTCTCCGCGCGCTTAAGCCTCGCTCCGGGCTCCCCTCAGGGCAGCAGCAACCGGGAGGAGGAGGAGGAGTGGAGCCGGGGCCGCTCCAGCCCGTTATAAAGCTTAGGGCTGCCATTCAAGAGCAGGATGAGTCACTCACCCACCTACCCAGCAACGCTGCCGTCGGGGGAGAGGGACCGGGGGGGGGGGCACGCGCAGGAGCAGCCACATAAACGCACAACACAAAACAAGCGCGCACCTCCTCCCGTCACGTTCTCAAGAAGTAGTTGCGCGGCGATTCCCTCGCGCAGAAAAGTGCACAGATACGAGGAAGGGGGGCGCTCCAGGCTGGGTTGCGTTCATTTGCCACACATGGGTGGGGTGGGCAATAGGTTTGTCAGCTTTATATATTTGCCGTGAGAAGGGCAAATGGGCGGGGGAAGCAGGCAAGGCCATCATGGGGATGCTGAGGAAATAAAACTTGCAAGAAGAGCACTGATTCCACAGTAAACACGCGTCTGGAAGCAGGAGCCGATGCAGTCCTACCAAAGAAACCCAAGTAGATGTACGTTCTAACATGGAAATATATGCACACAGGCAGTGCCAGATTTACGTCTAAGCTAAACAAGCTATAGCTTAGGGCCCCACACCCTTGCGGGCCCCCCAAAAAATTAAAGGAAAAAAACCACTGGATGTACATTTCCAAAATATAAGATAAAAAAACAAGTAAAATAAAACCTACATAAAGCAACATTGTTTTGTGTTGTGTAGGCTCCTATTATGTACATTTTTTTAATGTGCAAATGGATTTAGATACCTATTAGGCCCATAAATCACCATATAGCATATATTCAACGCAATAACAGTGACAATTTGTTGTTGACAAAGGACAGCTGGACAAATAAAGGGCCCCATTACCAGTGGCGGAGGCACTGGGGGCAGAGAGCAGGTGGGAGCATGGCTGGCGCACATCCCAGGGGCGTGGTACGTGTCCCAGGGGTGTGGCGCATGTCCTGGGGGCGTGGCACCCAGTGCACGGGTGGGCAGCCATGATGGCATCCCACCAGGATTGTGGTGCTGGGGACAGTGCGATCCACCTGACCCTCTCTTCCTCCGCCAGTGCCCATTACCTTCAGTAGCTTAGGGCCTCATCAAACCTAAATCCAGCCTTGCACACAGGTGCAAACACACTCATGGCAGATTGTGTCCCCAAAGAGACACAGTAACGAAGTATCCACCAAAGCACAGGCTGCCATAGGCAGGTTGCAAGAGAAACACAAAAGGACAAATGAATGGAAGAGTCAGGTATCCACACACACACTTGTGCAGCGTACCCAGAAAGATACACACACTGGAACACAACAGGGTGATGCTATTGGGTTTGGGTGTAGGAGAGGCAATTTCAAATCCCCTCCCAAGCTGTGAGACTTTCTGGAGTATAACAGAAGGAGCATCTCCACTCCCATTGTTAAGCTCAGACACTTCTGGTGGTTCCGTTACTGTGAGAAGTGAGGTTACAGGGAACCTGGCAGAGGGCCTTCTTGGTAGTGGCGCCTGCCCTGTGGAACACCCATCAGATGTCAAACTGATAAACAACTATCTGAAGGCAGCCCTGCATAGGGAAGTTTTGTAATGTTTGATGTTGTATGGTATTTTTATATTTTTTTGGAAGCCTCTCAGAACTGCCCAGTCAGATAGGTGGCATATAAATAATAAAATTATTATTTCCAAACTTGTATTTCAGTGTACTGGTTGTGTGGTTGAATGAGCTTGACTGTGGACACAGTTTGAGTTTACTGTGGAAAACCCGTCTATAAATAAACTACAGTGGTACCTCGGGTTAAGTACTTAATTCGTTCCTGAAGTCCGTTCTTAACCTGAAACTGTTCTTAACCCGAAGCACCACTTTAGCTAATGGGGCCTCCTGCTGCCGCTGTGCCACCGGAGCACGATTTCTGTTCTTATCCTGAAGCACTATTTTTGGGTTAGCGGAGTGTGTAACCTGAAGCGTATGTAACCTGAAGCGTATGTAAACCGAGGTACCACTGTACTTTGTGGTGAAAAGTATCAAAATGACATATCCAAGGATTTTCACACACAGGATATGCTTCTGAGATGATACCACACAACTAAATTTTGTAACACATACCTCATCCCTGTTCACTACTCATTTGTCAATCCCTGACCTTTCTGGACCTGAGTAATGTGCATTTTAAACTTTCTAGGCCAGGGATCGGGAAGGTTTACCTTGCCTGGGCTGGTTCACTCCTGCGGAGATCGCTCCATGGGCCGGATTGGGTCTGCACAGACACGATTTCCGGCATATGCATCTGCGCAGATACAATTTCCGGTGCCGCAGAAGCGAGTCCCCACTCCGTGCTGTGGGGACTCACTGAGCAGGCGGCTTGGTTCAGGGGCGGCTCGTGGGCCATTTAAACGACCCCTGTGGGCCGCTTGTGGCCCATGGGCTGCAGGTTGCCGACCCGTGTTCTAGGCAGATAGTTCAATCTACTTAACCTTTTTTACTCCATCTCTGTCATACACTCACCTTTTTTTCCTTTAAGATTATTTCAAATTTTGATTTTGCAAAGTTGAAGGTAAACTTGATTTTTAAAGTAACCTACCGTATTTTTTGCACCATAACACTCACTTTTTTCCTCCTAGAAAGTAAGGGGAAATGTCTGTGCGTGTTATGGAGGGAATGCCTATGGGTGGCATGCCTACGGATTTTCCTCCTCTAAAAACTACGTGCGTGTTATGGTCGGGTGCGTGTTATAGAGCGAAAAATACGGGTAATTGTTCATACAAATTAACTTTAAAGGTCTCTGAGTGAAACATTTAACTATCTTGAGTATGAAATCTGTTTTTGTTCATTTCTAGCCAGAAATTGTCAAACTTGTTGGCTGGGCTATCCCATTTAAGGGGAGCATTTTGACATCATTTTCATTACAAAAATACCGGTAGCTATATATAGTATTTATAATTTGGCCATAAACAAACAATCCATTCATGGAGGTCATTTCAAAGCAAGGAAATAAAGGTATCTGGATAAACAATTCGTGAAAATCTACATAAACTCACTGAAACCATCAGCTTTCAATACTCGCTGAAAATCTTAATCTTTAACTTTATTCAGAACATTGATAACAGCCACAATCTAGGCAAAACTCAGCAATTTTAAGCACTATTGATAATATAAGAATATCCTTATATGTATATCCTTATGTCTCTCCCACAGAAATTAAATCTAAATGGAAAAAATCTCTCTTTAGGATTAATTTTTTTTTTGGAAACCAAAACATATTGTCCATTGTTGGTTTTTAACAGAACAACAGAAATGAAACTAAACTCAAAGATACAATTGTCCCATATAATATCACTCAAACTTTCTATTTTTTAAAAAAATATTTTTACAATTAAATTTCAGTTTATAAACATAAGCTATTCAAGATTCTCAAGCCTAAAGCAGAATATTATATAGTGAAACAAGCATGGAATTTCCCTGCAAGTATTTTTGCATTTCACTGCAAATTTCTTTGGTCAAGATCTAGAAGTAGTAGGGCAGTCTATGCGAATCGCTTTTTTGGCCTTCAAGATGAGAGTGGTCATGAATGGCAAAGCACGACATCTCTGAAATGAAGATGAATTCCTGGGGGAAACTGGAGCAAAAGGACAATTGCATGACTCTGACATTCAGTCCCTGCCATCTTGAGATAGATCTAAAATGGTGCCATGGGTTTGATTGCCCATTGTAAAATCCCCTATGGCAGACTTGCTTGAAAGTATAAATGTCAATTTGTTTTTTAAAAAAATAAAATAAAAAATAAGTGCATACCAAAGTTGCATGTGTTCTTGAACAAAACATAGTTTGAAAATAAAATTTAAATTAAACTTTATTGCTTTTGTGGTTGTTGTTGTTTAGTAGTTTAATCGTCTCCGACTCTTCATGACCCCATGGACCAGAGCACGCCAGGCACTCCTGTCTTCCACTGCTTCCCGCAGTTTGGTCAAACTCATGTTTGTAGCTTTGAGAACACTGTCCAACCATCTTGTCCTCTGCCATCCCCTTCTCCTTGTGCCCTCAATCTTTCCCAGCATCAGGGTCTTTGCCAGGGAGTCTTCTCTTCTCATGAGGTGGCCAAAGTATTGGAGGCTCAGCTTCAGGATCTGTCCTTCCAGTGAGCTTTTAGTTTCAGTAATTCCTCCTCTTTCATTGAGTGTGGGGCCAGACCTATAAGCTTCTTCAGTCCTACCTGCTTGCATGGTCACTGGCGAAAGTGAGCTTATTCCCTCCTTTGGGATTCTAGATTAGATTGAGCAGGACTGGGGTGCCAACTTGAATAAAATATTGGGGAGGAGGGGAGTAAGCTCTACCCTGCATAATCGATCACAGGACACGGTGCATGCACACCATTTAAATGGCAATGCCCAGCAACTTTGTGGAGTCCTGCCCTCTCAAATATTTGATTGAGGGGGAGTGAAGAGACCTTGACACCAGGAGTCGGCTCCTGTGAGGAGGATTCAAATGCACACATTCTCCACTTAGGTTAACAATAATGTGTGAAGCAGTCCCAACAATATCAATAATATAGATATATAAAGTTAAAAACAGGGAGAGGTGAGAGAGCCCTTTGAAATGGCATCTGATGAAATGACCTTGAGTCCACAAAAGCATATGAATAATAAATGTGTTAGTCTTTCAGGTGACAGAAGATCCTGACTGCTTTTGCTGCAAAAGTAACTGTGAACTAGAAAATTTGAAACTGTCTTAGTGGTACAGAATATTTCCCTTTTAAACGGCCACGTCTTGTTTCTGGCGCGCACTTCCATCCATTAATTGAAAACTCCCAGACTTTGGAAAGGACTTCAAACGCGATCTAGTCCAACCCACTGCTGATCCAGGAAATAGTATAGCATTCCTCAAATGTTAAGCCTCTACTTAAAAACCTTAACTGTAAAACCTTAATGAAGGACAGCCCACC